TAACTGAATACATTTTGTATCTCCCAATAGATTGTAAGCTTTTTCATGGCAGAGACTGGCTTTCATTTTGTTTTTGTGTCTCCAGGGCCAAGGATAGTGCCTTGCACATAGCTGGTGATAAATCTTTGTTGAATTGGAGACCTGGGATATTCCCCCAACATCTGCTTTATCTACTCCTACTTTCCAACTGCTGGACACTACTATAGTCAGTCAACAAGCATTTATCAAGGGCTTACTATGCAGGAAGTGTTAGGAAAACGTTCCATAACTTAGCCATCTAGGTCCACTACAAATTCATGCTGTCCAGCCTCACTGGGGACTTCGCTGATTCACAATTCTCATCATCTTCCTTAATTGACTCTTGCAATAGCTCTTTGAAGTTTTCTCAAGCCCCCAAAGTACAGTTGACCACTTCCTCTGCCAGGGTGCTTTCTCCTCCCTTAGTTTCTTTGATATTTCTCTCACCCAGTTGTTATTCTACCTATCTTCCCGCTCCTTCCCTGTCTTCTCTGCTGGTTCATCATCTGCCTCTTGACCCCTAAGAATGGGGTTGCTTAGATTGCTGAGAAAGAGGAATGAGTGGGTGGAGAGGTAGTGGTGACCAGGAATATCTATCTTTCTAGAAATTCAGCATTAAGGACAGGTACAGGGCAATAGCTTGGGGGGTAGTAAGGTTAAGAGACAGTGTTTATTTTTTTTTCAGGTTAAGGGGAGACCTAAGCACATTTGTAAGGCAAAAGTGAAGGAACAGAGAGGATGAGATGGAAGATGTATAAGAGATAGCCAATTCATTTTCACAGGAAGGGAATGAGTCTTCAGCAGCCATATGTAGTAGCTTTGGGAAGCCAAGCAATTTTTTTAAATCTTTATGAGCCTCAGTTTCCTCAACTGTTAAATGGGAATAAAAATTCCTTGTGCTACTTACTTCTCAGGGTTATAAGGAAAGTATTTTATAAATCCTAAACCCTTTATGAGAGGATGCATAAAGGAGGAAAGGATAGAGAGGAGAGCCAGGAAGAGCTGGGTTCTAGTGTCACCTCTGATACACACTGGCTGTGTGACATAGAACAAATTATTTGACCCCTCAATGCCTCAGGTTGAGGCACTCTAAGATTATTGGTTGCAAAGAAGTTTGCCTACACTAATGAAATCACAGGTATAGACCAAAGCAGGAGGCAGGGGGAAGAGCTCTTTATAAATGTCAGCCATCATCATTATTATTATGGGACTAAGGGAATGATAGCTAGAATGGGGTCATGGAGGAAACAAGAAGGGATGAGGGTGAGATGCAGGCAGTGGGTTAATGCTATAAAGGAAGAAGGCCATCTCTTCTTCTGAGATTGGAGAGAAAAGAGGAATTTTATCTCCTCTGATGTGGAGTATAGTACTCTGCATACAATAAACACCTAATCAATAGATGATAGATAGATAGATAGATAGATAGATAGATAGATAGATAGATAGAT